AAGCCAAGACTAAAACTCGTGGATGAACAGTTTCCAAATTTCCTCTGGGCATCTAATATTTAAAGAGATAAAGACTTAAAAAATTAATAAGACCTAAACAAAAAAATATTTATTTGCTTAAATAATTACCTGCAATATAAGAAAGTTATCAAAATAGACAGCACATATTATCTTCGATCCTCTTTCCACCTTCCTATCGGCTTCATTGTATAGATTATTAGCGACTTCCCAATCTATAATATATATATTTATTAGTTTCAAATTAACATTTTATTTTATAAGATTATGTATGTTCTTACCTGATAGATTAACTTGCAGTGGTAAAAATTTGATCACATTACTTAAGGTAGTGAATAAAAGTAAAGTATTATGTACGAAAAATGATGTGCATTCTGCTGATATAAGCATATGATTTCCATATAACTTGTTATTTTCACTTAATCCAATTATCACATCCTATCAATTAAAGTTTCTATGTTAACTGATTTTCATTTAAAGAAAATGTAATATATATTTACCTCAGTCCTTTCCTCTCTTCCAATCCGAGTTGAAGAAATCCAATGACATACTTCAGGAAATTGAATAAAAATATCATTTTGTACTTTGATCTTTTCTTCTTTATTATAATTAATGTTTTCGATAAACTTATCGATTCGATCCATATATATTTCAGCTACGTTATTTATAGCAAATAATTAATTGGAATTACATGATGAAAACAAGCAAAACTTAATATAAAATACCTATTAAAATTTTTCCATGAATACTTTCAAACCACAATTCTTTGTTATTTGGATTAAAGTATAATCTTAGAACGTTTTGTTTAAGATTAAAATTTTCATACGATACACATTTTGCTTTTCCATTCTCGTCATAAGTCAAATAAATCGCAACCAAATTATCATAATGATTGAGCTTCTTGGAAGAATGTAAAAAAAATATAACCGATCGATTAAACCATATGATTTGTCTCATTATTCCTCGATCATTTTTTGGATCTTCAATTCTTAGAAATTTAAAGCAAATTATAATTAAAATTGTTAATCATAAATGGTTAAATATATAATTTATACATACTGAATAGAACCTATACTTGTTGGGGCTTTAATGGGTCTCTCTAGTGCTCCACTCCACTCAAATAATGTAATCTGTTGATTAGATTCCAGAACAGCAAAATCATTGCCTCCATTATTTGATGAAAATGTCACACAAGATGCAGGATTTGAAAGTTGTACAGAGAATGCAAACATTGGTGGTGGCACGTTCATCACTCTGAATGGTGTCAGGTTCACAGAGGCTATTAGTATGTAGTGATGTTAAGGAATTAATATAATAGTTTGTATATTATAGTAATTTGTCAGATGTAATGAATTAAATAGAACACGCGATTTTGATGCGTCAAGGAATTTTGGAAATTGCTAAGTTCCAAATAATTGGTCCACTAATAAAGCTATATACTGTAATTCAAAACTTAAATCACGGTTAAAAATATAATTACTCAGTTTGATATTCAACAATTATATAATTTCAACTTTCTGAATCCATCTCAATAATTTAACGGTTAACAAAATTATAAACATAAACCAATAAAGGATACTTCCATCGATAACTGCAACAGAAGCAGCGTTTTTGTCAGATATCGTATTTGCACCGAAAACATCCCAACAAAAATCTAGACAATGATATTCATCTATGATAAAGAGAAATTTTTTTTTTAAATAATTCTTAACGAATCAATTCAAAGAAGAGCTATTGCTCATCCTAACTATCCTCTATAAGAATCTTTTATTGAGGCCTTTAACCTTACTTGTTGTGGTATAATGTAGTCTGAGCGCTTTTTCGGGATCCCAAGAAACACTAGTTATTCTAACATCAGATTGACTTTGAATTTCATGTTTCAAATACCAATGATAATTATTCATATTCCACAACTGAACTAAATTATTGGCGAGGAAAATTATTAAGTAATTGAAAGTTTTTCCGAATTCTAAAATTCAATCATAATTACCACACGTTGAATGTTCATCATTTGATCTATTTCTTTCCATCCATATAGCTAAAACTGTAGAATCACAATTCCACATGATTTCGATAATCTAAAATATTACACTTTATATAAATTATTTGGAAAAAATATATTCTTTTTTTTAAATTTGAACAATCTATTTATAATTACTTTATGAGCATATGTTTCACGCAATGAAAATTCTCCATGCCTTAGACCATTTTTTTCAAAGAAAATAATTTCATGTTTATTTGCTAACTTCTGACTTGAAGCGATCAAATTTCCTGATGGCCTTAAAGAAAATTTGCGTAATGATAAATAAAAAATTAACTTTTACAAATTACTGTAAATTTTTGAGTTCTTTTGAATGAATAAATCATACCTCCATGATAATACGTGTTCAAGTTTATCAACAGGTTCACTAGTATATTGTAATATACCTTCCCGGTTATAAACTCGAATGACTCGAAGTCCTGAATTATAACACCAAATATTAAATATCAAATTGATAGTCTAAAATTTTTCCTCCAAATTATATAAATTATCCACCTTTATTAGGATCAATTATTGAACAGCAAAACATGCTGCCATCTCCAATCCACGATATACGCGGTTTTGAATCATCATCTGGAGATAGAGTAAAACTGGAAACCTCAACCTTATTTTGCGCGGCAGACTTTCCTACTGATCCATGAAATTGTGTTTCCTTTTTTCCCCATCCAACATTTATGCTAACAGCTTATTAAAAGTAAAGTGGCCGTGTTAATAATTATGACTTTGATAAGATTTTAAAACTTCTCAATCATCACTTACCTTCTCCAGCCTCATCCACATTAATCGGCAATTCCGTTATCACATCAAAATCTTTCGTCATCACCAATATTGTATCATTTCCTACGTAACTCATGTTAATTTTTAGGTTTTATGTTAAAATTTCAAAGAAGGTTATTATCGCTAACCTGTAACAAAGATTACTAATTCTTCATCCGGACTCCATTCCATGCTTTGAATCTTTGATTCGATCGATCCGACAAGTTCTGCCTAACAAATATTTATTTATTTAAAGAAAAGAAGTATGATATTCTTGGTTTTTTTTTTTAAAAAAAAATATTTACCTGCTGTGATGAATTAACGATGACAATATCACCATTATGAAATGCTATACAAATGACTTGATCATACGCCGAGAAATACATTCCGCAAATTAATGAGTCCAAATCTGTATTCCCTTCATCATTAGACCACATTGCTATCACCTATTCATTTCACAAAAAAAATTGAACGATTAAGAAAAGTAAAATTCAAACAAGAAAGGTTTTCAAAGAGTTATACGCATTACCTCTAAATCATTATATTTAACGAGCTCAATATGAGTTAAAGATTCAGAGAATCTTAAAAAATACATAACTTCTTCTTCATGATTTATTAAAAAAGATTTTCCGATTCTAGAAGGAGAGGAAATTGAAAGTACTTTTTGCGAAAGTAAATTTAGATTTTTCATCTTTTTAAAAAACTGATTAAGAGGATAGATATCTCTGGTTTATTTCTTTAGATTTTTTTACAATGATTTACAGATTTATATACTAAAAAGGAAAATAAAGATTATCAAGATAAAATTAACTCGAGTTTTTTTTTCGATCATTTTTGATTTTTTTATCTCTTAGATGTCGTGTAAAATCGTCTTAGCAAAAGAAATTTCTGCAAGCTTTAGGTAACTTTTTAAACCTGTTTCAAAAAAGGAATAAATAAATTAAAATAATATATTATTTTTGCATTCCTGTTTGTAATATCCTTTGAACAAAAATTCTTTAAAAAAAGGGGAAAGAAACAATAGAAACATTAATAGTTATAATAGCATTTAGTTATAAAAACGTAAAATAATTAGGTGGATAATCAAAACTCGACGATACCATCACCTCTTCTCAAATTATCGTTGCACAAATTACAATACAAGTTCACTACAATGTTTGGTGTTAAAACCTTTTAGAGAGGAATTAAAAGCCACAATTAAAACTCGTGGGATTAAACCCAAGCTTGTTGGATTTCTTGCCAATCAGGATCCATCTGCTGTAAAGTATGCTGAATCTACATCGAAAACTTGTGAAGAAACTGGTGTAGTATTTGAATTAAGAAAATGCAACAAAGAAGAATTAGAAGATCAAATCGTTGAAGCTAATGAAGATGATAATATACATGGTATAATGGTCTATTATCCTGTATTTGGAGATCGTCAGGTAAGAACTTTAAAGATTTAAAATTTAACATATGAAAACTATTTATTTATTCTTTACTTTTTTTAGGATCAATATCTTCAAAATGTTGTCAGTGCTTCAAAAGATGTGGAAGGATTATGTCATAAATACATATATAATATGTATCATAATGTCCGGTTTCTTGACAAGGAAAAAACGAAGAAATGTATCATCCCTTGTACACCATTAGCCATAGTTAAGGTGAGATATCACAATGATTAACTATGTTAAAAAACACATGACAATGATATCTTGATGTGTTTTTTGTTTTTTTTTCAGGTGTTAGAATTCATTGGAGTTTATAATCCAGTTCTTCCATATGGAAATCGATTACATGGACGTGTAATCACTATAATTAATCGTAGTGAAATTGTTGGACGTCCTCTTGCAGCTTTATTAGCAAATGATGGAGGAAAAGTATTTTCCGTAGATATCAATAACATTCAAGAATTTCATCGTGGAACCGGTTTGAAACTAAAGAAACATGAGGTATCATCTAAAAAGGAAATTATTCATAATTTTTTTGATTCTAACTGGTTTTATTATTATTATTATTATTAGGTTCGAGATACAAATGTAAAACTCGAAGAAATTGTACCAATTTCAGATGTGGTAATAACTGGTGTCCCAACGCCTTCTTATAAACTTCCCACGACTTTATTGCGTGAAGGGGTTATAGTTATAAATTTTTCCGCATTTAAAAATTTCGAAGATAACGTTAGAGAAAAAGCTAGCATTTACGTTCCCGCTATTGGTAAGGTTACCATTGCAATGTTGGAAAGGAATTTATTAAGATTATTTGATTATAAATCTCAAAATTAAAAAAAAATAGCGTGTATTTACAAATCTACATTTCGTATAAAAAAAAATTCCCCCGTTAAATTTAATCGCGACGAATTTACAAATCATTATCTAATCACCCTATTAATATCTAGACTAAATTTGATAAAATTATAGAATTGACGCTATAAAAATGGTTTTTATTTATTTTAGTATTTCTGCGGAAAAATACATGATTTGTCGATCATTCAAGAACTTTACGTAATATTCTCCAACTTTTTGTTAAAATAAGAAATTTCGAAGGCCTTTGACGTAGTATTTATGATATCGCAATTTAATAAATTTTTCGGCTAAAGATTATAGTTATTAAACTTAATTTATTGCATAACATGATGATGTTTCACATGATGAATGTGACGTGTATCTTATGATATATGTGACAACGGAAGGTACGAATTCGAGGTTGAAGCGTGTCACGAAAAAATCGGAATTAACTTACGAAAAGAATTCAAAGGGGCATTTATAATGAGCAAGGATCATCTATCTAAATTTATCGATACTAATGACGAAGTGATTTTGCATAATTTGTTACTTATTTGTTTCTTTGTTGTATTTGGTATGCACAGACAAGTTGGTTACAATGCATAATCATTACCATATTCGATGGATTTTAACTGAAAATTACGGAAGCAAAACGACATGCCAATATTAGTAATTCTTTTACTTAACGTTTTCCATTTTAGCTTTGCATTCAAAAAAAAAAAAAAAAAAAAAAAAAAAAAAAAAAACAAACAAAACCCTTTAAAATCTAGTGTTGTTATTCGGATCGTTATCAGTATAAAAACGCCAATACAGCATAACCTGATGAAAAAAATATATATATAGGCATGTTGTATGTATCATGATAAAAATAGTTTCCATTAAGAGGCACCTCGAATTCTCCTGAAATTTTTTTTTTCCTTTCCCCCTTGCCTATATATAAATATTTTGTCTATTGTCAGAAAAAATTTTTGTGTTCATTCAATAAATTTTCATTTAAAAAAAGTGATATACTGTAAAAATTCTTGTGGTGGGAATTTTTTTTTTTTTTTTTACCGATTTATTTTAATAGAATGAACATTTTGAACAGTCAGCCACAGGAAGTCGTCTATCTTGATATTAAAAAGAATGTTAAACAGTTATCTCGTTCAAAGTCTACCAATCCTCCTACAAAAAAGGGATCAAACAATAGCTTGATACGTCGTAATTCAAGTAATGATACTATACTAGCATATCTTGATAAAGAATTACCGCCTCCTCCTCCATATTCAGATTCTCTCATTGATGACCCAAATTCCACAACAATAACGACTACAACGACTACGACGACCGTAACAACTGTTACGACTACCACAATATCAAACTCTGGTGAATCCACATCAAAGCAACAAAACCCTCCAGATATGAATCCTTCAATCAATGATAGCAATGATTCAGAGATTCCAAGTATTACAATAGTTTCTTATGAATCCTCATGTGATACGAGTAAAGATGAAACAGAAATAATAACTCCCTCAATTTCTATTCCTCCCGATAATGAAATTTCATCCGAAAATTCGAATCCCGTGTATTTAAACGATGGTGTTAAATCACAAAGGCGTCATATACGTTCTGGTTCTGCCCCAAATGTTCACACTCTTTTATTTAAAGAGCAAACTGATGATCTGAAATATAAAAAAAACACGATACCTTCTGCAAGCTCAATGGTTCATTTGCCTGATTCCAGAAGAGACACCGTTTTCCTAAATAATTCTTATAAAGAAACGCCACAACAATACCTTGATAAATTACGTGATACTCTATCTAAATCAGAATTGGCAACGTTGCTCACTAAAAGTAAAGATGTATTTCATGAAACTGTGTTACGAACTTACATGGAAACTTTTGATTTCACCAGAGATCCGGTTGATATCGCTTTAAGGTTAATTTTTCGTTATTGATTTCTCCTTTCGTATTTTATTATTTTAACCGAAGTTAATTTTCTTGTTTTCTTTAATTTAATTTTAATAGGAAATTCCTTATGGATTGTCACCTGCCGAAAGAAACACAGCAAATTGATCGCGTAATGGAAGCTTTTGCAAAGCGATATCATGAATGTAATCCAGATTTATTTCCCTCTTCGGGTATGTATTAAAAGATAAATACTCAATTATGATCATTACTATTATTATCACTATTATTTAACCAAAAAAAAAAATTTTATTATTTTAGATACCGCATATGTTCTTGCGTTCTCAATGTTAATGCTTCATACTGATGCATTTAACAAGAGCGTAAAGCGAAAGATGACAAAGGAAGAATTTGTAAAGAATACAAAGATCGATGGAATTCCTCCAGAGATATTGGAGGTAAAGAATACATGTATTATTATTCCCTTGATTTTTAATTAAATCCTAAAGAACTCACGGAAGAAATTGAATTTTAGATCCTTTATGATAATATCACGTTCACGCGATTTATTTATGCTGATGACGACGTAGATGTTAATGGACAGACCATGCTTTCTTCCTCTCATAAATCCCGTCATTCAATAATATTTGGATTACTGGATCGTTCTTCGTGCTTCAAGAATGATCCTTACTTTGTCATCAAACATGTAAAATTTCTTTATTATTATTAATATTTTTCATGTTTTTCGTCCGGGAACTCAAAAAAAAAAAAAACTTTTTTAATTTAGAAAATTCGAACCGACTACACCCCATCGATTGAACATATTGTTCCGTCGGAAAATCCTTTTTCATATAAAGGAACACTTCCTGAATTTGACACAGTTGGTATTCATCGCGCATTTACAACGGCTCATACTATTCGGATCACGGGAGTGAGGACCCAACGGAATAGTGAAACATTCAATCAAATATCGTCTTCAATACACCCTTTGGGTGATGATGAAGGGTCATTTCTTCTTAAAATTACCAAAGCTGGAAAATTAAGTCGTAAAGTTGATTTATTAGAAGGAAAGAAATCTGGAGTTATAAGAAGTTGGAGTCAATATGGGATGATTTTAAGTGGAAGTCAGATAATGATGTTTAAGGATGATGATTGGTTCAATTCTAAAATTTCCGATTTGAAAGATCCATCGGTATTGAGAAGATCTATTTTTAACTTTTTCTTTTTTTTTTTAAAAAAAAAATATAATGCTAATACTATATTTAACGTTCTTTTTAAAGAAGTCAACAATATTACCTACATTAAAACCGGATATGATCCTGATGACTTCAGATTCGGTTGCTTTACATGATAAAAGCTATACAAAATATAAACATGTATTCCGTCTAGTATGTCCAAAAGGCAATCAGTATCTTTTCCAAGCTGAAAACGAAGTCGAAATGAATGATTGGATTACAAAGATAAATTACGCGGCCACCTTTAAAACTGTGGGATTGAAAATGAGACATACAAGGAGTAGCAGTTTAAATCATAATAAAAGTTTAAGCACTGAGAGTGGACCACCAAAAAGGCATACGTTCTTACAATCATTTTTTAATTATCAACAAAGTTGTAATGATGATAGTAAAATTAATGATGCTCACAGCAGGGCCGAAGTTTTGAAAGTATGTACAAATATATATCACATTGTTAGGCTCATTCTCTTCTTTTTTTTATTAAAAACAAAAATTAATTTTGTTTATTTTTGTATTCCTAGGCAAAGATTGAAGAACTTGAAGGAAAAATCAAAATGTTGAGGTCACAATTTGAAACTGATATTCGATTTAGAAATAATTTGATAATAATGATTCCATATAAAGCAATAACGAGGGATAGGATGATTCAGGTGGCAACGGAATTGGGAAAAAGAATAAGAGCAACATCTTTAGAATTAAGCAGGTTAGATTGTTATAATGAAATTCTGGAAAAAGATTTATATTCAACGACTATCGGAGACAATTTTTATTGGCAAAACGGAAGTATCAATAGTAATCACGGTCATAACCGTCTTTCGCATATCGTTACCTCTAGAAAAAAACATCATCGTCGTAGTAAAACTCATTCAAAATATTATACGAGTGCAGCATCAGATGATGATGTCAATATTAAAGTCAGACCAGTCACCTTTGGCTCGTTTCACCATGAATGAAATATAAATATAAATATTTTAAGCAGTTATGTTATATTTCCTTTTTTTTTCTTTTGTAAATAGTATAAAAATAGAGTTCTTGTTCAACCATTATCATTTTATTGTACATTATTTACATTCTTATAATAATAAAAAATAAAATGTATTATTGATTTCATAGAAGTTTTAATTTCGGGTTGGGAATGGTAATCACGTGACAATAAACCATCTGATTTTCTTTTTATTTTTGTAAGCATTATAGTTCTCCAATAAGAAAAAAATAACATAGAACGATTCTTTTTGAGTATCCCCCCCCCCTTTTTTTTTGTTTCAAAACAATGAACAAACAATTCATCAGATTTGTTATCAAAATGCGGGCGTGTACGGGGAAGGAAAGAAAAAATCTATACACTAGATGGAAATGATGATCAAATTCCTTTTAGGTGTTAAGAAAATAAAGGTCTAAAAGATTGAACCTAATGCATAAATTTTCCAAGGAAACCGCATTGTTTATACGCCCATAATTAAACGTGTTTTCATCTTATCAAAAAGGAATTTTTATTGTGATGACGAATTTGGAATGAATATGGGAATTAATTAATATTACAACATTTTTTTTTGCTAAAAATAAATCCGAAATGATGATCAAAAACATCAAACGTAAAGAAAGAAAAAATGGAAAAAAAGAAAAATCATAAAATTAGAATTACAGAATGAAAAAATTTAAAAACTTGCTAAAATTGCCAAATTAGGCTAACACTTGATATAACCGTTTCATTCATCAAATAGAACAAAAAAAAAAAAACCTTGTTTATCCTTGTGCAAAAATAAAAAACACAAACCGGTATGCAAGTCATTATACATGCGTTCCTTTCAAATTCTTGTTGAAAAATCTTTATTCCACCCCCTAATAAAAAAAAAATAAAATAAAAATAATTTGATTGGGCCAAAAGAATAAAAAAAAAAAAAACTTTATTTTCTTATTACAGTTTTATTGTTTTTCATTTCATTGTTATGAACAAGGGTATTTGAACAAAAAGTTTTTTTTTTTTTTTTTTTTTTTTTTTTTTTTATTTAACTAAAAATTTCATAACCTTCACAAAAAAAAAAAAAAATTAATAATAATAATAATATACCGATTGGTTCGATTATTAAATCTTCAAAAAAGGTACAAAGCGTACGGTATTACAAACTTAAAGAAACTCACCAATTATTATATCTTATAATCAGATGCCAAATAACGGGTACTAAATTCAATAATCTTTTTTTTTTTATTATTAAAGTCGTTCATTTAAGAAATTAAATTGTGAAACAATATTGAGATTTTCCACAGAATGAAAACAAATAACTTACAATTCGAAAATTTATTATTATCACGTACGCGGCAAAAGAATAAGACCAAAATTATCGCGAAAACGTAATCGCATGTTCACTTCTTTCGGGAATACACAACCACTAACAATGCAATCCGCTAACAATGTTATCACATGCTTGAAAAAAAAACACCTTTTAGAACGTGGTGGCTTCAATTTAACCGTGACTTGCAAATTGGTCATACGAAACCAAAAATACAACAATATTTTTAATTGGTCTAGGTTATTAATGAGTAAAAAGGTTGCATCCAATTAAAGCTGAACCAAATTGGTAACCCATTTCCGTTCACCGTAAAAAAATTGCACAAATGAAAAATAATATTAGGTGAAACATTATTTGTGCAATCATTATAAACCTTAGGTACAGTCATTCCATTAATGATCCGTTTAAAACTTAACTTTATTTAACGGTTTCTCTTCTAATCTCGAATTCTTTAGTTTAATTCTTCACTTAACTTACGTTGTTAAGAAACTTTGAAAAAATAAACTCATTCACTTTTTTTTAAATAACAATTTCTCCGAAAAGCTTTTTATAAATTAAAAAAATTTTTCGGTTTTTTTTTTAAAAAAAAAAAAAAAAAAAGGTTTACTGCAAAAAGAAAAAGTTGTTTTTTTTTTTTTTCAAAAAACAATAAACGAACAAAACGAATGAAATAAATAAATTTATTAATTGTGAATAATTTTTTTTATCGATTAAACTATACTCTAAAAAAAACCAAAACAAGCAATTAACATAATTCAAATATTAAAATAACAATTCAAGGTCAACACTTTTTTCCAAATAAACGAACCTAGAACATAAATATACAATATGGGTTGTTGCATGAGTCAAGAAGACCAAGAAGGAAAAAGAAAAAATGAAGAAATTGAAAATCAAATTAAAAAAGACAAACTTAGGTTGCGTAATGAAATTAAAATGCTCTTACTTGGTAAGGAAATCTTTTTTGAATAAATGCGATGGAAAATAGTTTCGCATGCGGCGCAGTACTTTGGTGGGGGATGGTTGATGGCGCAGAATATGATACACGTGAAGGTCAATATAGAAAATGTTTAATCATTTCATTAACTAATTAAAGATAAATATTTCTCTTTTATTAGGCGCTGGTGAATCCGGAAAATCGACAATTCTTAAACAAATGAAACTTATTCATGACGGAGGATATTCTCCGGAAGAAAAGGAATCTTTTAAAGAAATTATCTTTTCCAATACAGTACAATCCATGAAAGTTATTGTGAAAGCAATGGATACTATGGGAATACATTATAAAGTTGAAATGAATCAAAAATATGCTACTACCATCTCGAGTTTACCAGATCAAATTGAGGGAGATCATTTGCCTCAAGATATAGCTATAGCTATTAAATCTTTATGGGCTGATCAGGGTATTCAAGAAGCCTTTAGCCGTTCGCGAGAATACCAATTGAATGATTCTGCACAATAGTAAGTTGAGATTTCTTTTTATTTTTTTTTATTTAAACAATAAAAAATTTTGAATAAAAAAAAAAAAATCTTGTTTCCCTTTTAGCTATTTCGATACAATTGATAGTATTGCTAAACTGGATTACCTTCCATCCGATCAAGATGTATTGAGATCCCGTGTAAAGACAACTGGTATTACAGAAACCACATTCTTGATTGGGGATCTCACTTACCGTATGTTTGATGTTGGTGGACAACGTTCTGAACGTAAGAAATGGATTCATTGTTTTGAAAATGTCACAGCCATCGTATTCTTAGTAGCTATTTCTGAATATGATCAGTTGCTATTGGAAGATGAGACAGTGGTACGTGTTCAATCTTACCGATAAATTTTTTTTTTTTTATAAATTTAAAGCATTTAATTGATTGATTTTTTTTTTTTGTTTCGTGCTTTCTTTAGAATCGTATGCAAGAAGCTTTGACATTATTTGATTCGATTTGCAATTCAAGGTGGTTCGTTAGAACATCAATTATTTTGTTTTTAAACAAAATTGATAGGTTTAAAGAAAAGTTACCGATCTCACCAATGTGTAATTACTTCCCGGATTATGATGGTGGAGAGAATTATGATGCTGCTTGTGATTATATACTTAATCGTTTCGTATCATTAAATCAATCAGATGTTAAACAAATTTATACACATTTTACATGTGCTACTGATACACACCAAATTAGATTTGTTATGGCTGCTGTTAATGACATCATTATTCAAAATAATTTACGCGAAGTTGGTTTACTATAAATCAAACATTTCAATATTTTTTTTATTACTTTTTTAAAACTTTGCAACGTCATAATAACAAGTAGCATAATTATAATAATTATTAATTATTTTGCGACCTTTTTATATAATTATAATTTTATATGTAATTTAAATTTGTAGAACAAAATTAGGCCTTATTAAATAATCTGATTTCTTCATTGTGTTTTCATCCCCAACTTTTTTTTTTTTTTTTTTTTCCTCCATTTCAAAATGGTTTTTTAATAAATCAGAAATTATTCAGAATTTTTTTTTCGTAATTTACATTTTTTTTGTATAGTTTTCTTTGGTCAAGGATTATACATAGTTTCATTTGTACATAATTCCTTCTTTGGGAAAAGATATAGAAGCTATTGCAAGATATGCAATTGTTAGAATTTACGTCATATACACTAAATAATCAAAATAAAAAACAATTGATATCGAAATATTATTGGAATGTAACGGAATTATCATTTTGCATATGATCAAGAGTGTTTTTTCAAGCCGAAGCAAGTATAGCATGTCTATGAGTGAATTATCCTATTTTTATTGTCTTAGACTAACACGACTTATAAAGTCTTTTCTCAAAGGGACGCGTCCAAAAAAATGGTCTTACAACGAGTTTTATCCAATGACGAAGCGTTAATAATCACAATAAATCATGTATGATTCAAAATGTTTGGAAAGGATTTCTGGCTGTCGTATAAAAGATGGTGGTAGATGAAAAAAATAATTGAAAAGGGCAGGTGTTCTATAAAGAAAGAGTGATAGCTCTGAGTGGGTGACGTTCCCGTGTTAACACACGGAGCATAGGTGCAGTCTTTCATGAATGTGTACCCAAATAACATTATAGCTCAAAAATTGAAAAAGCGAATAGATATCTATGGCAGAATGTCGAGGATGACCAACAACTAGAAATTGATCTGGAAGTATTTCACTAGTGAGAATTTTATCTGAAAACATTATGTTTTTGCTAAAAGATCAGGTTAAAATGAAAAGTTGATTTGTGTTCAGTAGAAATTTTTGATAATCAACTTCTGAGCAAAGGTCCGATATCATAAAAACATAGTGCCACCTTCACGTTCTTCAGAAGGACAGAAACGTCATTTAAATTTTAGGAATTTCCCTCGTCATCTTAAATGTATAATTACCTTATCTCTTAGATTATCTATCTATCTTGCAGGCACATTGCCTGCAAACTTAAAAAAAAAAGTATTAATGTCTTAATAAAATATAAAATTTTAATCTTAGTAATCCGGACTCACAAAAGAAACCACCTGACAAAATTTTTTTAAATATTAAATAAATATTGCAATAAAAAGCTTATTTAAAAGTCAGTTATTAAAATATATTAAATTGCAAAATTTATTTATTACTATTACTTTTTATTCTAATACCCCAAATATTTATTGAAAAACGATCCTGTATTCATAAACTTCTAAAAGAAGGATATTCAATCTGATAAAAACAAAGCAAAGACATCAATCATAAAGAATATTACGAAAGATAAAGCAGATTTGCATTAAAATAAGATCGAGGAATAAAATATTGGAAAGCATATGGAATTAAATCACGTTACGGATCATAAGATTTACTATGTTCGTAACTCGATTTCAATCCCATATATAATAAAATTAAAATAAAAATAAAAATAAACGATATATCTTTTTCTTTTAAGTCGACCAGCGACTTCTGATAGGTCATCATATAGATAATCGGTTAGGATTATATCTGATTCTTTGGCCGCTATTACCGCGCCACTGGTAAATGATTCCAGAAGGTTCAACTATCTGACATTCGATATTAAGCTTTTTACACATATGTTCTGCCACTTTTATTTGTATAGGCGTTAATGAATTACGCCTCCATTCTACAGTTTCCCTGACTGCATAAGCGTTATGGATTCCTTTGATAAACAAACCCACCACGACATCGATTGTCGGCCATAACTCTTTTGATAGCACCTATCCATTTCCCGAATGACAGCAGGCCCTGAGAAATTAAAATATTTATTAAGTGATATTCATTTAGATGTAATAAATTTTCATTAAATTCCATTAAATACCTATTTTTTTACCTTTCACGCTTTGCACTGGGCTACGTATTTTTCGTCTTTTTATACGCCCGCGTATATCCACCTCTTTATCACCTCAGCCTCTGTGAAAAATATAAATAAAAAAATGAATACTTGCGTCATTATCATCAAAAATTAACAAGAACATTCCAGTCATTTTTCGTGACCATGAAGCAACCTACCACGTGTCTAAATCTAGAACCTTTGGCCTCTACGAGAAATTTATCCTTCAAAGAGGCTACTATTATATCAATTATCCTACCCGTTTATCAGGAGAGCATCCCATCCAACTTTCGGACGATAGAAGGACCTGTGATTTTTAGAAATTTATTAATGATATTCATTAAATATAATAAAATTCATTAAAACATACCTGTTTTTTTTTTACTTCTCAAGTTCTTGCATGAATAACGAATGGAATATTATAAATACGCGAGCGTATATCTTTCCCTTTGTCACCACGTCCTCTATGAAATTGTAAAAATAAAAAAAATGAGAAATTTGCGTCATTATCATCAAAAATCAAAGAAGAACGTTCACATCATTTTTTTTCTATGGCCACAAAAAGCTTTCATTTCCCATCATTTTAAACCTAGTAGTAATGTAACTTCGGATATACAATTTTTTTCGACAAGTGAAATACTCACCCTGTCTCAACATTCAAACTCTCCAAAATAGTAACTATTATTTCTTCGAGCTTCTTGGGTAAGTGATGGGAAAAGGAATCAAATAAAAAATTTTTTCAAGTTTTTTTATTTTCAGTGATTCTGACAAGAGAACGTGTTTTTATATTCCTGACATTCCATACATTTCCAAAATAATATAAGACCACGTGAAGATCAATTGAATTTGGTTATTGTAAGCAAGTTATAACAAATAATTATATTATATGCATGCTGACTTAACATATAAATAACATAAAGGAAAAAAAAATTATTTCACAAAGAATATTCACGTTTTACCACACGTGAGTAAAATTTATAAAGGAAATAAATTAACGCATTTTTTCTGAACTAGCGTAGTAAAAAGCATGATGAAATCATAAGATTAATTTAAGTATTTGGAATATTGCAAGCAATGCTTTATTTAAAAATCTACTAGGTATTAAAAAAAATGTGATTTAATAACAGCTAAATAAAATACTAGTATATTAGTTAATTAATTTTTATTATTGTTAAATTTCATATTAAGTTAGTAATTTTTAGATTTAGGTTATATTAGATTAACTTATTATCTAATTCAAATCAATTTCTTAAATGATATATATTATTATAATTGAACAATATTAAATTATTCTTTTTGAATTATAATAAATTGGTCTTTTTAAATAATAATAAATCATTCTTATTGAATAATAATATATAATTTTACTAAAATAATAATGAATTATTTTTTTTTAAATAATAATATATCATTTAATTAAATGATTCAGTCAGATTAAGTCAGGTTAAATTATTTAAATAGAAATTAAATTAAATCAGATATTTATTTGATTTAACCTGATCTTTAAGAATTAATTTAAGCTAATTTGACTTATTTAAAGTTCTAGTAAGATTTTATAAATTAGTTATAAAATAGTATTTATGATAATTATAAATTTAAATTATTATATTAAAAATTTATAATTTTTTAAAAATGTTGATGTTTTTTTCTTTCTATATTTATATTAATAAAAAGATTTATTAAAGTTTGAATTATTCAAATAGTAATTTAATTAATAATAATTGATTATTATTTTTAAGATAAATCAAATATTATAAGGTCTTAATCAAAATTATAATAGTGTTAATATAATAAGATTATTCTTCTTTACTAACTACTTGTCAAAACTATTTAAAATGAGAAATTAAAAACAATCTTTCTTAATAAGAAGTCCTCAAAAATATGAAAAAAACTTAGAAAAAGCCATTAATTAGCTAATCCAGACTGAAAAGCATTTAGTTGATCAAAACCAACAATCTAAAACTGAAGAAAAAGCAGATCTTATTTATTTTTTAATTTTTATTTTATCACTAAATTATTGGTAAAAAAAAATTTAATTATATAATTATAGAAATATTATTTATAGTTAGAATAAAATCATATTTTAATAAGAATTTGTAAATTTTTATAAATATAAAGTTCAATAATACTTAAATTATTTAAATATATATAGTTTTTAACTTATTAAATTATTTTAATTCATTTATAAATTGTTTTAATAATCAGTTTAGTAATCTGAATTCTTTTTAATATTATGTTAAGAATTTATTAGAATGTTTGCTTATTATATTTTTTGAAGTAAATTATAATAATAATTAAGGGTATAGTTGATCAGATTAAATTCTTTAATACAGTAGCGGTCATAAGTATCCGATCGCCCGAGATCGTCCAAAATTATTATATAACTACCCCTTAAATTTTTCAGAAATATAATATAACACAATACATGATCACCTG